CCTCTTTTCTCTCTCCCCAATCTGCTCCCTTGTGCGCATCCAACATAGAGCAGCGAGCACTGATGGTTTGTGTTGTGCCGGTGAGACACAGCGTGGTGGTGTAGAGGCAACAAAACCCCATCGGCATGCAGTCTGCACAGAGGCGAGCTCGAGTCAACACGGAGGCAGGCCAGCCCCTGTGGCAGTCTCTTGTGCATGACGACGCGAGGCCAGCGAGCCACATAGGTGACGGTGTGGAGGCAGGAGAGCTCTGCGGCACGCACTCCACGCAGAGGCGAGCTCGTGGCGGCGTGAAGGGAGGCGAGCCCCGACAGCGGCGTGCTCATGCACGACGACGCCAGGCCAGCGAGCCACTTTTGAGGCACAGCACTTAGCTGCTGGGCCTGCCAGCACGACACGCTCGGTGCTCGGTTGTCGGACCTGCTAGGCACGGCGTGCTCCTGCCCTCTCCTAGTCATGTAGCTGCTACCTCCTAGCTACGTCGCGAGGCTGATGCCTCCCTTCCGCATCGTGTGGCCGATGTCTCCCTTCCACGTCGTGCAGCCACCGTTGCTATGCCATCGCCTCCAAGCACTGCCAGGCCACTGCCTCCGATGAACTCCACACGCTAACGAGCCTCCAATCTCCCAAGCAGCAAGTAAATGTTGCACTGCACTGAAAGGGCATGTTGCAAGCATATGTTTTAATTGTTTCAGAGGTATGTTGCAAGTGCTTCATACGGATATTGTAAAAATAGATCGGGATATTGCACATGTTGCAAGAGTATGTTATAAATGTTTCATCTGTTTTTAGTCCTAAGTTGCAGCAAGTGTTTTCATATTGCAAGTTGTAAGTGTTTTATGTGGATGTTGCATATGTTGTAGTGGCTATAAACGTATGTTCCAAGTATATTGTTCTAATTGTTTCAGATGCTTCAGACGTATGTTGGACATGTTTTATCTGGTTGTTGCATATGTTTCATGCATATGTTTGGAAGTGTTTCATCCGAATTTTGCATATGTTTCACATATATGTTGCAAGTGTTTCATCTAGATGTTGTATATGTTCTGCAATGGCTACACACGTGTTTCCCTGGTGTTTCATACATATGTTGCAAGTGTTTCAATTGATTCGGACATATGTTTCAAGTGTTTCATCTATATGTTGCAAAAGTAGATATGGTGTTACACATGTTGCAGTGAGACCCATCTATAGTAGCCAACTGTTGCAGCTGCTGGGCTCGCTTGCATGCGCGTAGTTACGGAGGGGCGCCACGGTGTAGATGCGGGACATGGAACGGTGTGGGACACAAAGCGCATGTGGGCTATGTTGCGGCGCGTGGGATACAGAGTGGCACGAGCCATGGTGTATGGCACGAGACATGGTGCGAGCACGAGACACGGTGCGAGCATGGGTCCCCACATGAAGCAGGCGCACAGGTGTGGGCGTCCGGACGCTAGCCCCACCCGAATGTATGTGCACTAGACATACCGATCCATATTTGTTGAGGTGTATTGAGTTGGAAATTAGTTTAAGTTTCACTTCAACACACATGGATTGAGGTGGATACATGTGCATCCAAACAAGGCCTTAATGTGATGTTGTTATTTGTCCAATTTAGTAAATATTGTACAAGTGTATAATTTGATCCAAATTAAGACTTACTTAGATTATGTATCAAAATGATAGGATTAATAATTTTAAAGTAAATTTAAGAGGTTATATTTTAGGTTACATTTAACAATGGCAAAGATAGGTAATTTAATGTAAATGTCGTGGTTAATTATGCTATTTCTATAATGGTGGAGATGGCTAGCATTTAGAAAAAAAAAATAGATGCAGTGGCTATTATTGTGATTATGAATACCAAATCGATTACTTGATTTTTCATAAGTATATGATTTTTTAAGATTTGTTTGTTTTTCTTGCTCGTTTGTGATGATTAATATAGAAACTTCTATGAAGTTTGTAATTAGTAAGAGTGGACGCGAACAAATTTGCACTTTTAAATATTCTTTAGGATTATCTATACATGTAAGTTTTTGGGCAGTTCAACTTATTAAAAAAACATATTGGTTAAACTTTCAGTTTTAATAAAACTATTATGAAATATTTTTGTTGCGTTTAATGCTTTTGGAGACTTATTTGAAATAGCATTGCTACCGCCCGGACGTCCAGACGGACGCCCTGTTCTCGCGCCTGCACCCCGACCGACTCGGCGCAGGTGTCTGCGCCTGCCCGACCCCACGTGGTGTCTGCGCCCTACGCGGCCCCTCACGCCTCCTCCAGCAGCTACAACATGCAGGTCACATTGCAACATGTGCAACACTTGATCTACTTTTGAAACATTCAGATGCAACACTTGCAACATACGTCTAAATAGATGAAGCACTTGAAACATGAGTCTGAAACAATTGCAAAAACACTTGAAAACACTTCAAAACAATTGCAAACATATGCAACATCCAGATAAAACACTTGTAACATATGTGTGAAACATATGCAACATCCAAATAAAACATACTTGTGTGATATATATATTTTAGAGGTGCTCTCGGCGCTTCCCGCGCGGCAACATCCAGATAAACACACTTGCAACATACGTCTGAAAAAAATAGATGAAACATTGGGAATAGAAGTTTGCAACATACCAACCATTACAACATATGCAACATCTTGATCTACTTTTGCAACATCCATACGAAACATTTACAACATACCTCTGAAACATCTAAAACACTTGAAACATACACTTGCAATATGTGTTTTCAGCGCAACATCTTCTTGCTGCTTGGACGATTGGAGGCTCGTCGATGCAGAGCTCGATGCCTCGCAGGCAGCTCCGGTTGAGAAGGCCACTCCGGTGGAGAAGGACACAAGCGCGGTGGAGAACGCCGTGGCAGACAGATGGCCCGGTGGAGAGGAAGAATGGTGAGCGTCGACACTGGAGCGTGGTTGAGAGAGGACGATGGCCGGTGGGGCACAATGGCGCGGCGGTGTGGCCGCGTTGGAGCACGTGTGGTGGAGAGTGCCGTGGTTGCGTTATCGCACTGGAGCACACGTGCGGCGGTGTGGACACAACGGTGGTGCGGTGAATGGAGAGGAACAGACGACGGGCTCACGAGTAGATAATAAGGTTGGAGGCGAGCGGATACCCAAGTAGAGATTTGGACCATTTAGCTTATATCGTGGCCCATCAACCAGTGTCGGGACAGACGAACGTCTTTAGCACAACAATACCGTATTCGAACTATAAGTTTAAGGAACAACTCGGTTTACATTGTATTGAAAACTCTATTTATGGCAACTCGACACTGAGTTTTCTAAGAAACCTAGCATAACACTAATTTATCGCATCAGAAAAAATCTGGACGTTTATCAAATAGGTTTTATATCGATCTTGTTCTATAAAAGTTTTTTTGAGAGGTGTTCTATAAAAGTTTTAGAAAGAAAAAGAAAAGCAAAGTGAATGAAAGGAAAAAAGAAATGGTAAGGCCGAAGGTACGTTCGCGCGGTGCTCTACTCCACAGTACACACCAACCACTCTGCTCTGCTCCACTCACCCTGAATGACTATTGCCCCCTTTGGAATGAATGTAATAGTTATCCCTTTTGTTGGCCATGTAGTCTTGAATGGTTCCAACAGCCTTTCAACATTGACTCTTCCCTGTCGGAGAAGAGTAGTCCTCAACTTGTTGTACCCAGGAGGTACATATCCACCCAAATTAGTGTTTGCAAGATACATTATTAAAGCTCGAAAATTTGGGTTTCTTGCGAAATTGAAAGAAACACCCGCAGATTACAAAGACAAGGAAAAAGCACAGCAATCAGTAAAATGTTTTGAATCAAATTGATACTAAGATTCTTTGAATGAATCAAGTTCCATAAATCCTGTATAGAACATTCTTCCAACGAGAGCATCAGCAATTTGGCGCCGTTCAGGGAAAAAGCTTTCGTCAATCCCTGATTGCCTCTTTCTTCTCTTTGACTGGGCATTTGTACCTCCAGAAGGGGGTAATCCTGTACTCCCTATCTGTATTGGCAGGGGAACACTCTTCGGTTTGCTGTTGGAGATGACTGCCTCAACATAAGCCACTTCCTCGCGAAGTTGATGAAGAATTGGTACTGTTACCTGTTTGCAAATGCTAACACCTTGGTGTGGTATCTTCAACAAATGTGCTCTGATTCTAGTATAGCTACCAGATATTTGTTTGCCGCAAAATTTGCACTCTAATACTGCGGGCATTTCCTCCATCAGGACTATTGCTCTCGATCTTATTAATAACATGCCTCCAAGAGGATATCTAGGATCACAGATCTCATTCACTTCAGGAACACTGTCAGCATCACTTGCTACATTGACACTACTAGGTTCAGAGACATGCAACAGAGAACTTCCACTACCACTTGCACGGTCCTGTTGTTAAGGTGAGAACTTTTTTTGCTGGTAGGTTCTGTCCAGGTTTAGTAGAATTTGAGCTAGTCAGTGGGTCTTATGCAAACCATTGCCAACCCACGAGAATCTGATCAGAGAACTATATTATGTCCTCTTCATGATATTTTAGAAATATGTGTGATTTGTTGAAAGATATGCTAACTCACGACTAGGAAGACGAATGAGTAAAAATATGTGCCTGAGGGACTGCCCACTCTACTGCGTTCTTCGCCTTCAACACTATCTTTCACCATGGTGTGCTGGAGATGACAGAAATTTGGCTGAAGATTAGATAAATTTGATTTTCTAGGCTTTCAGAGCGCTTGAAGGTTCACAAATGTTGAAAATGTTTTTGTTCTTTTGTGGGTAAAAGTTGCATTTATTTGAAGAGCAATCTTGTTCAAAAGCCACAACTCTGTTTCTGTTTATTTTACAGTATACATAGTCGTTCTGAGAACAGTTCAGATTAAAATGACAACTCTTATGTTTTGATAAAATTAAAAACCGTTGAAACCAGTATCATAGATATCGGACGGCGCACGTGAATCTTCTCGCCCCAGCTGCCAGAGCCTGTCAAATAATGTTCTTCACTTGGGAACCGTCGCGGCGACCAGGAACTCACCGGCAGCGCCGCCGTCAGGCATCACGACCGCAAGCCCATCGCTGCCACCGTTCAGGATGCTGTACGACACGTGCAGGGGCTTGCTGTCCCTTAGCACCAGCTCCTCCAGACCAAGCTCCAGCCACTGGGCAACCTCAACCTTATATCCCGCGCGACCGCCGCCCCGCGGCTGCCCGTACGCCGCTGCGCACGTCTCGACGCTCACCCCTCCCTTGCCGTCGCTGTCGTTGAAGACGACGATCGGGAACTGCAGGGGCACCTTGCCCGCCGCGCCGAGCCGTTCCTTCGCCTGGGCGACACAGGCGACGGCAAGCGCGTGGTGGTCGGCTGGTGCGCCCGCGCCGGCGTTTGTGGGTCTGGCTCGGAAGAGGACGGTCTCGGCGGCGTGGACGTCGTCGCCGGAGGCGAAACTGTCGAGGGGGATGGACTTGGTGAGCGCGCGCACGGCCCTGGCGCCCGGGCGCTGGAAGTAGCTCGCGTACTGCATCAGCGGGTGGGTGGCGACGTCGTTCTGAGCCTTCATCCGGGCGTGCGTGCGCGCCCACGACGCAAGGAACCTCGCCAGTGACAAGGGATCGGACAGCATCAGGCTGCAGCTCACGCCCACGGCGAAGCCTCCGTCACCCTGGAACCGTGTCAGCTGATCGAGCAGACAACACAAAACGTTAGCTATTGCTATTATAAACAAGTACCCCTCAGGTCACAAAAGAGTACGTACGTAGTATCGTCGTTACTAGAGTTGCATGAAGTAATCAACACATTTGGACTTTTCCTATCAATATCGTTTTAAGTATTTTGATTGAAGTTTTGGGAAAAAATACATTAAAAATTGTCTGATTGCTAGTTCGTCTTGTAATATTTTGCAAGGTGTATATTGTATACTGCTCATTCCGATCCAAATTATAGTTACTTTAGCTTTGTCCTAAGTCTAATTTCTTTAACTTTGATAAAAATTATAAAAAATACACTAACGTCTATAACATCAAATTAGTTATATAAAATTCTCCATAAAATATTTTATGATAGCTCATTTGTAGATATTAATATATTTTCTAAAAAAATTGGTTTAAGCTAGAAAAGTTTGGCTAACTTAAAAACAAAGTCAACATGAATTGTACGTAAATAATTTAGAACAAAGAGAATATTAGTTAGTGACTAGAGTGTGTGATCAAGACAACATTTTTTTCACCATTATTAGGGTGAGTAAATTGCATCTCAGGACGGAGACTTCGATCCGTATTGCTGGTGTAATGTACAATATTTTCTTTGTCAGAGTAATGACAGGTTGTTGGGTGTTGTAGCTACATATTTATTTTGATTTGGACGTACATCTTCATTTCGGATAGGATATATAATTACATATATGTTGTTGGATGATGTAGCTATATATCTATATCGATTTGGGACATGGCATGTTGTTGAGTGACGTGGATGCACATATATCTACCTTAAACCATATATAGTTCTAGCTAAGTCAAATAATATTTATATTTATTTAGACATGTATATATATATATATATATATTGACGGGTGATGTAGCTATATATCTATATGTATATCGATTATATCGATTTGGCATCTTCATTCAACAGACATGACATATTATTGTTGACACGTTGGGTAACGTGGCTAGCTAATACACTCCCTCAATTCTAGAAAGGATGAGCATCGCCAAGAGTGCGTTATATCCCTTTTCCCATCCATATTTTTTAAGAAAAAATAACAAAAATTTATCTTCAACAGTACCCCATATCCCTTCTCTATCTTTCGGCATTTGCAAAATCACCGTCACTTACGCACAAATATACGCGCGGCCTGCGAGCGCACATCCAGAGTTTTCTCGCGCCGCCTTCTCCTTCCCACGCTCCGTCTCGTTCCCGCGCAACATCTCCTGCTCGACCGCTGTGCAGTTCATCCAGCAATTCTCGGCGACGGAGCAGAGCAGCCCAACCTCCTTGCGCTCACTGTCACCGTCGTCGTCGATCCAATCCTAGTAGTGGCCCTTCACGGTGATGGCGCCGGCGTCCCCGTCGTCCTCGCCGGTCTCCACGGTCTCGAACTCCCGTCTTCGGGCAGGCCGTCAACCACCTCGGCGTCAACCGCGTGGAGCACGTACCGGGCGGCGAGGCCCGGGTTGGACGCGGACTCCCGCTCGTCCACACGCGCGCCGTCCCCGCCGAGGATACGGACACGGGCTTGAGCGCCGAGCTCCTCCCGGATGGCGCTCGCCGCGGCGGCCTCTGGGGACTCGCCGGGCCGCATCTTCTCGGACAGCGATTGAATCCAAAGTCACCCGTGCCTGCTCTTCCCGGCCGCCCGTGCCTGCTCGTGCTGGTGCTCGGCCGCGTCGTAGTCGCGCAGGCCGTCGCGAACAGCAACTGTGGTCTGCGTCTCGAACGAAGACGAGCAGGTTGATGGTGCTGAGCACCGCGAGCAGCCAGTACAGGTAGTCGAACGTGCCCACGTTGATGTTCTGTGCCAGCCACGACGAACGGATGAAGCAGCCGAGCCCGCCGGCGGACGGCGTACCCATGGCGGTAGCGCTCGAAGAGCCCCACCCAGGCCACGGAGAGTATGTGGGACCAAAGTTTTAGGATTTTGGAACCTAATTATAGCAAACTATTGGAAATGACCTTATTTATTTCTCCTAATATTATTTTAGAAGTTGGAAAAAATCATATTTTGGAGAAAAATATATTGGGTACTCTTGAGATGCTCAAGAGTTGCCCATATCCCTTCTCCATCTATATTTTTTTGGAAAAAAAATGAGAAAAACTCATCTTCAATAGTACCAAATATCACTTGTCCATTTAAAAAAAACCGGCCTCCAAGTCGCACGGATCCGGCCTCCTCCCCACCTTAACCGCGACGCCGCCGCGATGCCTGTGCGCCCGCCCCTGTCGGACACCTCGCCGGCCGTCGCAAGCATGTGTATGGGCGGCTTGGCCATCCACCCGGACCCTGGACATAGCGACAGCCTGCCGTCCACCGGCACCGGGATGTCCTCGTCCGTCGTCTCCTCCCTCGACGATGTCGCTCGCGGCAGCGGCCGCCACCACCCAGCCCGTGCCGAGCTCGGCCTCGGCAGCCACGAACACTGGCGATGAGCGAGCCCTCCACGCTGGGCAAGTGTAGGCGCGGACGCCGCCACAGGCGAGGCAGCCGCACAGGCCCGGACCCCGGTCACCGCTGGTGGCACTCACGTGTGCGAGCTCGACTAGAGGAGGGACCGTGAGAAGGCAACACCGGAGGAGGGGACGCGGTGAAGATCGCTGCCGTCGGAGATGGCATCCACGTTCAAACACTTCACGGGAAGTCGTCGTGACTTGCTCCTTCACGGAAACACTTCACGGGAAGCCGCGGCAGCCGGCAGGTCGTCCTCCCCGACGATGAGCTCCTCTGCGGAGTCCTCGCGACGACGAAAGGAAGCGGCGGCGACCTAAATACGACGGGGTTCGCCAACTCGCGACGGAAAAAAACCATGCAGGAAAATGTGTGTGGGAGCAAGATTTTGATTTTTTGAAGTGAAATACGGAGTACGTACTATTCGACATGATCTTCTTTTTTTTCTCCCAACACCCTTTTGAGAGTTGGAAAACATAAAGTTTTGGGGAGGAAAATACGAGGAACTGTTGAAGATGCTACGATGCCCCTATATATACAGTAGACAGGAGCACTGAGGAAACATATATGGAATCTGCACGTGATAAGGATTACCATACATATATACTGCTAGTTAAGTCAAATAATTTTAAATTTATCTAAATCTATTTAAAAATATATTTTTCATAGTATATCAAAGTCATAAATGTTAACATCTTTTTATACAAATTCAGTTAAATTTAAGATGGTTTGACTTGAACTAAACATAAAATTGCATCCTTTGCAAGATGGAGGTAGTATATTTATATTGATGGGGTGTCTTTCAAAACCAACGAGTGAACGCTTTCCCTAATAAAATGTAAAAGAGACAAAAAGATGACCTGGAGAATAGACAGGCATGGTTTTATTGTAGGGTGCATATCCGATGAATAGCACAAAAGTTGAGAACGTGACATCATCAGAGAGTACTTTGATGTTTTGAAAATAACTCTAAACTTATTCATAGTTAATGCACATTATTGTCACAAAAGTTGAGATTTGAACTGCTAAAAAATTTATGAAAATATGATAAATTTTATGTGCACGTGCACTAAAAAACATTTGCACTTTCAAGAGGCGGGCCGACATATTATGGGATTAATAAAATCACCATAGATGTCTTGCCGATGATGTGCTGTCACCTACCACTAAAAAATAGTTAATCATAAATAGCTTGGAGAACATGTATTGAGGTAGAGGCTAGTGCCATTTCGTTTTTAATTTCCATATCTCATTCATTCAAGTATAGAACAACTATTAAGCTACGATTTTTCTCTTGTCCTCATAGTGCCTTATTTTTCTTGATTTTGCCATAATGCTCACCTTCTAGCGCCTAATTTTCTAAGGACAAGTATATTGGCCCATGTCAGCTATTTAATACTCGCTCTAAATTATAAGTCACTTTATTTTGTTATTAATTCAAACTCTTTAATTTGGGCAGTTATTTTTAGAAAAATATATTAATATCTAAAATACCAAATGAATGCATTATCAAAAGATATTTCATTATCGATTTATAGAAACTAATTTGATGTTGTAGTTGTTAATATAATTTCTACAAACTTGGTCAAGTAGTTTATCTTTAAGATAAAGTTAAAGTGGACTCTATAATTTAGAATACACAAATACTAGAAAATATAGTCGTTATGAGAACAGTATTATAGATTAAAATGACAACTTTTGTTTTTTTATGAAGTCAAATTCTTTAGTTTTGACTAAGTTATGCCAAGGTCCAACACATCTTTGCTAGCAATGGATTTGAGTTTTGAACTTGTTACCGGCTTACCGCGCACGCGCGCGCCATGGATCGCCGGCCGGCTGTTGTCACTGTCAAGGTGGATGCGCTTGGCATGGGCATGGAGCTTACCTGCACGTAGACGAGCGCGCTCACGTCGGGGTCCTCCGCGTTCACGTCGACCCACGGAGCCAGCGCGGCCTCCCAGCTGCACGCCCGGTCCTTGTCCTGGACGGCCTCCAGGAACTCGTCGAGGGTGACCTCCGCCGTGGCCTCTACGAGCCTCACGCCGGCGTCGTTCAGCTTCACCTCCCATGACCCGTCCGCGTGGCGCCGGAGCCGACCGGCCATCTCCGGGTGGTCGGCCACGGCCTCGCCCAGCGACTCCTTCGTCCACATCGCCTCCTCCCACAGCCGTGAGGCCCCCTTCTCTCCAGCGTCCGCGCGGTAGTAGAGCACCACGCGTGTGCGCCGCTGCAGCGCGGCCGCCGGGAGCGGGGGCGCGGCCACGGCGATGCGGCGCGTCCGCCCAGGCTCGACCGCCCGCGTCGGCACGGCAGTCTGCGGGGACTGGAGGTGGACGCGCGGAGCCGCCGGCGTGGGTTCCATGCTGTGTCGGTGATAGCTGCACGCTCACCCCGGCCTTATTAGCTTGCCGCTCTCGAGGATCGGAGGTGACCAAACAGGGCTCTTGCGTTGTCCCTTTTATTTGCAGGTGGCATGGTGCATATGCATGCTTGTGCCCGGACAGCGGCGGCGACGAAAACTATGCATGGCAGTTGGCAGGTGCTGTCATGGCAGGTCCCGGTACTTTGGTTCAGGAGGATACAACAGTATTGGACTATTGGTCGAACGTGGTCTTAGTAGAGCTAATAGTAATACAGTTGTCTAGTGGTTGTACGTATATATTTATGGTGTACTTATGAGCTTAGTCATATAGTAGTTGATTTATTTGTGATCTATTTTTTCTCTCAAAAAAATTCTTAGTTCTCATTCATAGGATGAAAACGGTCGAAAAACCTCTCAACCGTTTTCTACTTCTACATTTGAATAAAAAACGAAAACCAAAGTGGTAAAGCCGGACACGAAAACGAACACAAACTTACGGAATATCGAAAATTTCGAAAACGAACTAATTCGAGCGGAATTATATCGAACACGGTCGGTATACGAAAAATCAATACGGAATATTGACCCGTAGGACCAAGTGCATAATAATTAACAAGTACATAATAATTAACAAGTCCTACAACTTTCTTAAAAAGTATCTCCATTCGACGCGACGTAATGAAGATATGACTTTTTTTCACTATCGGAGGCGGCTTCAGGCACTCGGCAAAGGCCGATATACACTCAGCAAAGCTTTTGCCGAGTGTTACACTCGGCAAAGGCCGCTCGGTAAACAGTTGATCGGCAAAGACCTCTTTGCCGAGTGTACTTTATCGGGCACTCGACAAAGCCTTTGCCGAGGGCTAATCTGACACTCGGCAAAGAAAAGTTGCCGTGACGACGGCTTTGCCGAGTGTCAAGGTCAAGCACTCGGCAAAGTCGCCTCTTTGCCAAGCGCCGTTGACTCAAACACTGTGCCGAGTGCCACTGTCAAGACACTCGGCAAACAGGCGACCTTTGTCGAGTACCTGGCCCGTGGCACTCGGCAAATCTGTGATGTTTGCCGAGTGCAATGGCCTGTGCACTCGGCAAAGCATGTTCCCAGGTCGTTACTTTGTCGAGTGTCATGGTCATTGCACTCGGCAAAGTGACTGAAAATAGTTTTTTTATTTGTTTTTTACATTCCATCAAAACAAACAGAAGATATATATAACCAACATTACATATATATCATCAACAACACATATATATCACCAACACCACATATATATCACAAACGTCATATATATATCACAAACGTCACATGTCTCACAATATATCACAAATAAGTTCACAAGTAATCCAAGTGCTCCATCATCTTCAACCACAATTGCAAATAGAAGTACCATTAACAACCACAAGTATCATCACTGATTTGGTAAAGGATTCGCTGAAGCATGAGGATCGTTAGATGCCGCCGATTGATTTTTCACAAAGGAAAAGATAAATATATACCATACATGAATAAAACTTTCATACTCCACTAGGTTTGACCGTAAGCATGAACATACAAACTAAAACATTTATACTCACAGGAGTAGAATTTTGAGGAGGTGGAGCGAATAGCGAAGGTGGCGGAAATACACCCGTAGCGGCGCCAAGACTTTGCATGTACTGAAGAATCTCCGCCATCCTCTGCTGCTCGGCCTCCCGCTCGGACTCCACCCTCTCCATCTTTGCCTGCATCTGCTCCTGTATCCTCCTCTCTTGTTCCAGCTGGACCTACAATATATTCACCCCAATGTTACAATAATGCAAAGGAAAGGTATGAAAAAACCAATGAACGACAAATAAACCAGGAATAACCTCGAGTGCCTCCACCCGGTGGTGTGAAGTGTCCTGCCGAGGTCATATGGCCTTGTTTAGATGTCAAAATTTTTGGCAAAATGGCACTGTAGCAGTTTTCGTTATTATTTGGCAATTAGTGTCCAATCATAGTCTAATTAAGCTTAAAAGATTCGTCTCGTGGATTTCGTCTAAACTGTGTAATTAGTTTTATTTTTTTTTATATTTAATACTTCATACATGCGTCCAAAGATTCGATGTGACGGGGTTGAAAATTTTTGACCTTGGACTATTGGTCGAACGTGGTCTTAGTAGAGCTAATAGTAATACAGTTGTCTAGTGGTTGTACGTATATATTTATGGTGTAGTTATGAGCTTAGTCATATAGTAGTTGATTTATTTGTGATCTATTTTTTCTCTCAAAAAAGTTCTTAGTTCTCATACATAAGTCTGACTGTAAATTAACAATCCATTTCTCTTTTCTCTCTTCCCCGTCTCTCATCCACGTCGGTATAAGATTACAACTCTTTACTATTGTTGCTTTTATTAGGTGAGAGAAGATGTCAAAGACTCCTCTTTTTTTTTTTGAGAAACGTCAAATACTGATGAACCTTAGTAAGGTACTAACGCTACAACGCATGATGACTATTATTGCCACGTCTGAAAGTATTATTGTCAGTATGTCACCCTACAAGCTGCTACTCTTTGCTCTTCTCCCTTCCTCAACAGCTTCACTCCAGCGTCGAAAGGTGGGGCCACCGAGCTGGAGCGTTTAGGTCTAGCCTTAATTACTCAGCTTTTTGCGGTGTCCCTATATTGATACTAGTTCTGTCCCAAAGAGAGTCACTTTGGGCCCTCTTTGGTATGACTTTGGCTCGTGAAAAAACAGCTCTGGCTCTGGCTCATATGGAAAAACAGTTTTTTCTGGCTCTGACTTATTTTGTACGAAAACGTTTGGCAAAACGACTTCTTCTAGCTTTTTAGAATGTATAGAAGATGCCAATTGTCCATGGTACCCTTATCTTTCTTTTTTCTTCTTTCATTTTTTTTTTTTTTTCATCCTCTTTTCTTTTTTTCTCCTATTTTTCTTTTCTTTTTCTTTCCTTTCTTATTTCTATTTCCTTCTCCCCTTTTTTCTTTTTTTTCCCTCCTTTCTTTCTCTCTCTCTCTGGTTTCTTTCATCGGCGATGCTGCAGTCCTGGAGAGGACTGTCCTTCTTCGTTTTCTCTCTCCGATTTCTCCCTAGCGCTGTGTCTGACCCGGCCCACGGGCACATGCGTCTTTACGCGAAGTAAGGCAAGGATGAGCCGCAAGAAGCCACAAAAACTGGCTCACCCCCTGTAGTACAAGCCGGTGCCATATTTTGCGGGGCTTATGCCTGAAAGCCGGTTTGAGAGACACCCTTTGGCACGGCTTGCCCATAAGCTGCTCCTGAAGCTGGTACATAAGCCGTGCCAAAGGGCACCTTAGAGTTTTGGTACAGGTTAAACTTTCTTAAGTTTAATTTGGTTTGTAGAAAATATTAACAATATTTGTATTTCTAAATAAGTTTATTATAAAATGTATTCAAAGATTAATCCAATAATTCTTATTACCACATTCCAGCAATTCTAGCACAATGTAATGTTTTAATATCTTAAGTTTGATCAATTATAGATAAAAAGTATCATTATATATAATATCGAATAAATATCATTAGATTAATTACAAAATATATTTTCATGATAAATTGATTTGGAGCATTAAATGTGAATACTATCCACTAGAAATTTAGTCAAACATGGGTCACTTTAACTGGCACCAACCTATAGTTGCATTTTTTTGGGACCGAAGGAGTATTATGCATATATTTAGTTAAAATAAAAATGTTTGACTAAGTGAGAATGATATGCTTCCGGAACAGAGTAGGTGCCATAGTGCATGCTTGTGCCCTACAGCGGCGGCAATGGAAACTACTAGGCTGGTACGCGTGTTGCCGAAGTCAGATAACAGATAAGTACAGCGGCGGAATGAAGACTAGTACTCATTTGTCTAACAAACAATGTGACTATAGGTTACGTGCTAGTTAAAGTAACGTTCGATCAAGTTTTTAGTGAATTATATTGACATTTATAGCTTTAAATCAATTTATTATAAATGTCCTACTCTTCAGCAGTATTTTTCAGTGAAATAATAGTGTTTTCCTCTTATAACAAATCAGCACAAGTAGCAGCAGCAGCATCAGTCAAATTTCAACGAAACGAACATAGCCGAAAATACATTTTGTAATTAATCTAATTGTATTTATTTGATATTATCAATATTAATACTATCTTATCTATAGCTAGTCAAATTTAAGATACTAAAACATGATATTGTACTAGAATTGTATTTTTTTATAGACGAAGGGAGTATTAGGCATCAAGCGCTAGGATGGTATGAACTTAGAGCAAATCCTTCATATTTACAATCGATGTTCGTCGTCCACAAAGAGTGTTGCAACAGTTAAGCAAAAGCATTTTACCACATCCAGCCTGGCACATAGTCTTTGGATCTAATTTACGTAGATAAAGTCGGTAGACATGATATATTATAGACACAGCTGATGGCGACGAGAAGGATACAAAATAGCGATTGCACATGTTGAGTTTACCATCTGGGGCTCACAAAAGGAACAGGTTAAGCTCTACTTGGAAGTTAAAAAAAAAGGATGTTCAAACAATCGTACAACAACATCACATGGTTATCACACTAGTACATGGATGCTTTCTACTAGCGGACATTTTAGCATTTTCACTGACGAGCGTTTCTGGCTTCCGCCAGTGCGAAAGAACGGTGAAAATCAAGATCTTCACTGGCGTCTATTAAATAACCACCTGTATAAAATCCGTTTACATTGACGGTTGGCTTAAGTGAACCACCAGTATAAATCAATTACACAGGCAGCGTGTTTAAGTAAAAATTTACACAGGCAGTGTGTTCAAGTGATCCACCAGTATAAATGTCCACTAGTATAAAAATGATTTTTTATAGACTGCTCCTATTTTTAATAGAGGTGGACGACTTAAGAAAACGCTTGTAACCTTCACGGAGAGCATTATAGCTAACGAATCGTTGCTAGAAATCAATTTTTAGTGGAGGTTCTATTAATTAAACCGTCACTGAAAATATACCTATTTTCAGGGACGGTCAGCTTA